CCTTCTGTTGGATATGCAAGTGGATATCCTCCTCAACCTTCACTTTATAGACCTTCTCAACAATACCTCCCTTCTCAATATACTAGCCCAAATTCTTGTGTCACAACTAAAAGTCCTTCTATTCAACAGCTTAATGTAGTATATCCCTCTTACCAACCCACACAAAATCCACGTGTTATAAATCAATCAACAACCCCTTACACACAAAGTAATTATCCTAAACAACAACCTTATTACCAACACCCATCACAAGTATATTCTCCTCAACAAATTAATCAACCAAATTATCCAGTGCCTGGTTACTCTCCACAAATAGCATCTGGATATCCAGTTCAACCTAATGCATATTCCATGAATAGAAACACTGTTCTTAGTCCATATCAAACTACACCACAAATGCAACAACAAAACATGTATTCATCACAGAAATACTATCATTAGCTCTAGTTTTTTTAAAGAAAATTAAATGATTTCTTAGACGTTCTTGTTACTATTCTATTTAAAAAAAAAAAGAATAAAGTATATATTTTTTAACCATTTAATAAAACTGAACGTAATATATATTGATTAACTCAATGAATAATGTAAAATATTAATTTCATTCTAATCATATTCTTCTATCTTAGTTTTATTAATACAAAAAATAAATTTAATAATGAAATATAATAAAAAGAGTAAAATACTAATAATTTAATTAATAAAAATACTTTAAAATAATTGTTCTTCTGAATCAATTTCAATGTAATTTGAATCTCTTTGATTTTGTGTAAATTCAGGTGGTTTAATAAATTTGTTTATTTCAACGTTTTCATCAAATGGTCTAATTAATCTTTTTCTTGGTTGTAATAACTTTTCTTCTTCTGATCTAAGAGCTTCATTTTCATTTTTCATTCTTTGGAGTGTGATGTTCATTACCTCTCTTTCTTTTTTCATTTTGTTGATTATCTCAATCATTTCATCTTTTCCATTATCATTTATTTCTTTCAATTTCTTTTTAAATTCTTCAATCATTTTCTCTTTTTTTTCATCCTCTTCTTTCATTTCTTCAATTTTTTTCTTCAGAATTTTTATTTCTTCTTTTTGATTAATATTTTCAGTTTGTTGATGTTTTATTGTTTTTTGAAATTGGTTGATTTGGTCTTCTAAAATTTTGACTTTGCTTTTGTTGTTTGTTTCAGTTTCTTTCATTGGGATTTGCATTGAATCTTCTAATCTAATTAAAATACTTATGATTTGGTCTCTGTTTTCTATATCTTAGTTTATCTCACTCTGTTATGTTAATTATTTTAAAAACAAACGATCAAACTCATTTCCTTTTTCCTCTAAAATATTTATTCTGTTTATTATCTCATTTATTATCATATTATTATTCAATTCTTCATCTGTTTTGTATTGTTTTGTTGTATCATTTTCTTTTGACATTTTTTTCTTGTTTGAATTTTTTTAGTTTTTTGTAAATAACAAAAAAAAGTTCTATTTTAATAATAACACCTGTAAATAGTAATATTCAACAAGAAATATCATTAGAATATATAATTGATTTATAATTGTAACGTTCAATATTGTTATTAAAGAGAACTAACATTTATTAATTTAATATTCCTTATCAATCTAAGTATCAAAAAATAATCCCATGTAATGTTCAACTAATATAGAATAATTAAAAATTCGTTAATTCAATAAGAATGAATTACCATTGTTAATCAATAAAGAAGAAAGTAGAGTTAATAAAATATCATTTAGAAAAACAATGAAAAGTTAATATAAAGAAGTATTAAAAATATTTAATTTGATAAAGAGAAAACAAATTAAAAATTTTAAATAATTATTTGATAAAATGAATACATAAATAATTTGTTTCATATCCATTATTTTTATTACCTGATAAATGAATAGGTATAGATTTTCTTTTTGATTTCATTTTTGGTTTAGTTTTCAAATAAAATATAACTATAAAAACTATTTTGTTTCAATAATAAAATTTGTTTTGTTGTGTAATGAATTATTAATTTATTTCAACTGTTGTATTTGATATTTAATTATATTTAAATAAATAGAGTTTACAATGTGACTTTGTTTTATTATCTGTTTCTTTATTTCCATCTTCTAGTTTTTGTGGTTGTTGATTAACTTGTAGAGTGTTTTAGTTATCACTTCAGGTTTTTGTTATGGAGTTTTGTTGTCTTCTGGTTTTGGTTCCTCTTTTTGTCCACTCTGCGGATTATTATTTTTGTTTTCTTCTTTTAGGGGTTTTTGTTCTTTTTGTTATTGCTATTTCCTTGAGGTTGTTCTGGTCCTCCTTATTGTTGCAATGTGTTTTCTCTTTTTTGTGATTGTTGTGGTTTTGCTTCTCCTAATGATGGGGGTATAGCCTTTATTTTTTTGTTTGTTATGTTGATGGGTTTGGTTGTTGTTCTTGATATGTTTGATCTGGATTTCCTCTTTCTGTTGGTTGCTGTGCTAGTTGTGTTTCTGATATGGATTGTTCCTCTTTTTGTGATGTTTTTTCTCTGGTTTTGGTGGTTGTGTTTTAGTGTTTATAATATTTGTGATCTTTGTATTTCTTTTGGAGTTCCTGATGCTGTTGTTGTTGGTATTTCCATTATTGCTGTGTATGCTTTATGTTCCTTTATTCTTTTTTTTTTTGAAACTGATGTTTCTTCTCCTTTTCAATATACTTTATATTATTGTGTATTCTTTCATTAATATTATTTAAATGGATTTGAGTAGTCTTTAACATTTTGTTCTTTATTGAGAATACTTCTGTTGCAATAAATAATATAAATATGATCATTAAATGTTTATGTTTCAGTTCTTCCCTTTAAATATATCAGTTTTTTTATTTTCTTTTCATCCTCCTTTACTTTCATTTTATTGATTATTTCTATTCTTATTCTTCTATTTTCTAATTCAAGAATCAAACATAGTAAAATATTAAATATTAATCTAAACAATAACATTAATATGAAATGAATGAAAATTTTCAATTTATATTCAAATCATTATTCTTTTGAAAATAATGATTTAATATATTATTTATAGTCATTAGATTGTAGTATCCATTTATTGTTTAATATTAATGTTAATGTATTATTTAATTAACATATACTTTCAAAGTTTTATTCACATCTATTTTGTTTATTAAATTATTAATTGTTCACAGACCATTTCATATAATTCTTTTTATTCATTTCATTTTCATGATGTGTTGTTTTATGTTATTTATAAAAACAAATGATTAAAGGAATAATAATGAAGTTATTTCTTTCTATTCACTTTTAAACTAATTATTCTCATCAAATTGTTAAATGATAACTAAAACAATGAAATATTGGTGATATTTAACATATAATATAATCAACTCATTTTCACTGAAAATAAATACAATAAATGGAAGTAAAGTAAATAGAATAATAAGAATTTCCAATTATGTAGAAATTTAAATAAACAAAGTTTATCATGATATATAAAATAGATATTCTTGGAACAAAGAAATGTGCTAAATGATAAGAAATTTAGATGAATTGAATAATAAAATGAAAACAAAAATAACAATCAAAAATGTTGACAAATAAGAAAACAAAATAACAGTAAAAACAAATAACATGAATAAAGATAAGGTTAAAATATATTTCATAAAAGAAAAAAGAAAAGAAATAGATATTAATTAAAATAAGAAAACATAATTAAGTTTAGAAAAAAAAAGAAATAATAAAGAAATGAGAGATATTAAAGTTAATAAATATAAATAAAAACAAAAGAAATGTAAATAATACTATAATGAAATAATAAAAAATAAACAATAATAATAAGAAAAAGGAGAATAAAAGAAATAAACTCAGAATAAACTAAATTATAATTGAGTTAAATATTTTATTGAAATAATAACAAACTGGTTAGAATTAAAAAGAAGTATAAATATAATAATAGTAATTAATAATTTTTATAATTTAAAGTAATAAATAAAAAATAGAAATAAATAATAAATTATTTTTGTCATAGATAATAAAATAATAGATCAAACTTAAAATCTAAATAAATATGAAAACAATATTATGTAATAAATCATATCCCATTTTCTGTAAGTTATTTGATAAAAGATATCAAATAAAATGTAATAGTCAAATAAAATTTCTTGAAATTACTATAGAACATCCAGTTTTAATTTTAATCTCTTGTTTTTCAATTATTATGTCATTTAACTTGTGTTGGATGGTTCATTCAAAATTATCTCATTTAGTAAATGGAAAAGTAGATTATATAGTGATGTATTTTTTATTAGGTATTTGGTATTTTATGTACATGCTAGATCATTGTATTTTTGTAATAGATAATATTAAATTAACTATTACCATTCTAGTAGAAGTGTTTGTATTAGTACTTTTTTCTTTTTCTTTTTTAAATTCATCATTAATTGAATTTACTCATAAATATCACTCTAATTTACTACAATTTATTCGTCCATTTGTTTGTTGTTGTATTAGTGTTATTTGTTACATTCTTATTTTTATTGGTTATCAAATATCAAATGTTATGTTTGAAGTGTTATGGTTATGTTCAGTGTTTCTTCCAATTTTTATTTCTCTTTTATTATACCTATATCAAATCATTTGTTCAACTCATCGATTTATCCTTATTGTTTTATTCATTATTTCAACTGGAATTGCCTTAATAGGTATTGTAGTATTTTTTCTTTATGATAAAAACAAGTGTAATTGGTTATCTCCATATCTTGGATCAAATGAAATTATGATGACATGTATTATTTCATCAATGTGGTTATTCTTTCGTTTCTTTAAGAAACACAAAGAGGAATTAACAAATGGAAAAAAGATTGGTCAAATTGAATTTGAAGGAAAACTTGTTGATGTAGAACTTGAGGTGAAGTAATTATTTTATACTAGATAAAAAGTACATTCATTAACTCATTTCTTCACTATTTGTTTATGTTCTTTATTTTTATCTTAATAATTCTATTCATCAATTCAACTCTAATAATACTTTATTAATAAAAAATGAATGATTTAAAACTATAATCAAACATCTTTGTATTATTTATATTAATAAATATAATCCATCAATTATTATTTTCATTTTAAAATGATAAAAAATTAAATATGAACATAAAATTGAAAGATTTAACTACTGAGTTTCAAATAATTATCATTAATAAAACATTGAATATTTTAATAAAATAAAGATATGAAGAAGAAATGTTAGAATGAAATGAACAAACTTATTTCTTCTTAATTAGATTATTATTTTATTAAAAGTATAATAATATTATACTCTATTTCAATAGTAATTATAGTTTATATTTTTATGTTTATTTAAGATTTAATATCAAATAACTAAAAGACATCATTCAAAAATATTGAAATTAACAAATTATTAAATATTAGATTAAGTTATTTTTATAATATCAATAAGACTGAAAAATATTAATTATTTTAGAAATTATTCATATCTCTTTTATTGTATTATCTTTTCATTTACTTTCGATTAATAGTTATTCGTGTGATGGTATAGTATAAATAATTATTTGGAACCAAAATAAGCGAAGAAAGTATGCATTTAAATAAAATGATCAAATGAAAATAGTGTAATATATTTTTTGAATATTAGATTATTCTGTTTTATATTATTTTCTCTTAAAAAATTAAAAATATAAAATAAAATAAAAAGTAGGTAAAATAATAAATCTATAACAATCAGTTGGCATTTTGTAATTCTTGTTGTATTGAGTATGATGTATCCTGAATTGTTGATTATATTCATTCATAATTCTGTTCTTTTTATATTATTCTTTATTTCATTTACCTTCAATTCTATTTTAATGTGAAAATATCATTATGAAATGTAATAAAGAAGAACATTATGTTAATTCAAATTTATAATGTTAGTTATGAATAACAATGATTATATAAAT